TAAAAAATGACAACCAACACAACACTAGCCATCTAGTGTGTATAAATCAAAGTTACACCTACTTTTTGTCAGATCGGCAAAAAATACATTGTTTTGGTGTGCTGCAGAACTTTAATAATAAGTTTATGTGTGCCATGAGATGAAAAGGTTGCAAATTGCTGTAATGGAGGACTACAAGTGCAGTGGGCAAGATAGTAGTACCTGAGGGGAAGGCTTCACAGGGGAACCTGAGCTGGGTCGTGAAGGATAAATAGGAGTTGGCCAGGAACAGCCCGGCCTCCCGACGTCCAAGCTATTATTTCTTTTATTCCTCAGTCTTGCCTGAAAGAAGGAAATTGGTGCCATATGTCTGGGCCTAAAGAATTTATCCATTCCGTAAATGATTGTCGGGTGTATGATTATTTTATTTTTTTAATTGATTTTAGAAAGAGAGGAAGGGAGAGGGAGAGAGAGATTGAAACATTGATGGGAGAGAAACATCAATTGGTGCCTCCTGCATGCCCCCCACCAGTGATTGAGCCCACAACCCGGGCATGTGCCCTGACCTGGAATCGAACCGGCGACCTCTTGGTGCATGGGTCGACGCTCAGCCGCTGAGCCACACTGGCTGGGCAAGGCGTGTGATTATTTTAGACAGAGGAAGTTGTGCACCACGCAGTCCCTGCCCCTGAAGGAGCTTGAGAAGTGAGCAGAGTGAACCCGTGATCGGGAACCCAAGAGAGAAGTATGCTGGGGCCTCTTCAAAAAGATCTACATCCCAGCTGCCTCAGCAGAGGAGTTGGTATGCACCCCATGCAAGGGAGACCATTCTAAGGGAGCATCTTAGTTGACTCATGACCACATGAGTTTGGGGAGGGTGCATGGGGACAGAGGCCAGGAATGAGGGAGGGGCCCTTGCTCAGGGCCAGCAATGGGAAGGCTGAGAAGTGTGTTCTGCAACAACATCATGATGCCAATATGTGCTTCCTCCAAAACGGGCTCCCAGACTTTACAGCTGGCCCTTTGAAGCCTAACTGCAGGTAAGGCCTGTCTAGGGAGGTGGTTGGACCCCACTGGACAGCGGCTTCTGAAGTTAATGATGATAAAGAATTATAACTTATTACCATCGCTGTGGCAGTGGTGGCTGCTCTCACACAAAGGGAGAATGTTATGGCCGTAGAAGAGGTAGTTGCTAAGCAAAGGATTAAAAATTAATCCCCACTCTTCCCAATCATTAGTTTAGAATTTTTTATGACCTTGGACTTCCAAAGGGAAATTGAGGTCCTTGTCACCCACAGATAGAGGACCCAGATCTTTTTATCACCTCATTGCTGAGGGAGATAAGCGATGGTGTCCTGAGTTGGAGGCCATGGAGGTCAGGTCCCTGGAACCTGCGGTGAATGTTGGGTTACACACTCCAGAGGGTGGAGTTAAGGAGCCCCTGAGACTGATGTGGCTGCATTCTAAGGATCCTTGAGAAAGGAGACCTCATTTTCAAGGGAAATGAAGATTCTGCCTTTTTATTTTTATTTATTTTTATTTTTTCCTGTGCACCCTTTCCTTTGAAGTTAAAGTGAATATCCTTTTGGTCTTATACTTCTCTGTTTCTTATTTCTATAAACCTCTTCCTAGTTCAGTTTCCGTAAGTGAAAGAGAAGTGGCAATGATTTCATGATCAGGACTTGTCAACATAAAGCCAGGAGGTTACGTTGGTGAGATGAGGGCTGGAGAAACTCAGGGTCAGACGGGGTTTTCTGAAAATTGCCAATAAAGCAGCATCATAATCTGTCTTTTCTTCCTCAGAACAAACAGATGCCAGTTGGCTCCCAGGTCTGAACTGGACTTAGTTCCCACCAATAGACAACCCAGACCCACGGTTTTAATCTTTAGAAATTCAGTTGTGTCATCAGCTTATAAAAACCTGCTATTGTGTCAGGCATCCTATTTTCGAGGATGCAAAGATGAGCAGAAACTGTGCAGTTATGTGTTATTCAACTCTGGATGCAGAATGGCCTGCGATTGCTTGGGGTGCCCAGAGATGATGGAAACTCGCTTGATCAACGCAGGTGGGCGTGCCGGGCCACATCTTCAGCGAGTCCTACAGCCCATATCCCAGACACAAAATCAAACCGACATTTTCATCTGATTTCCCACTATGTTTGTATCTAAAGAATAGAGTCCTTTAATTCCCCAGAGCTCCAACAAGCCCAGTGCCCCTAGATTACATGCTTCTCAGTCACCAGCATCAGCACAGTTTGAAATGTCGTCCCATGTCCCAGGCCCAGCCCTACAGTGCACCCACCTGATCTGGGACCTGTGTACCCCACCTGTTTCCACCTGCTGGTCTCCCCCTCCCTTACCCCTGCTGTGCTCTGTCACCAACTGCCACCCAGGTCAGTTGGAATCTCCATCTATTAACCCCCAGGTTCTCAATCCCTCTGCTCGCTGGCGGCAAAAGCACTGCTTAGCTTTTTCTTGTTTTGCTCGTTTTGAATGAATTAAGGTATTCTGATGACAACTTTCTCTCTCTCTCTCTCTCTCCCACCCTTACCTGTCTTTCTGGCTGACACTCTGATTCTTAATAAGGTTCTCTAATTTTTATATTGAGCGCTAGTTGATGGCCTGGTCCTGGTAGGGAATCACTGGCCAGTACTAGCTAAAGAAATGACTCAGTCCCAGGTTTCAGGGCCACCGAACAAGTAGATACAAGGCACGGAGGGGGCATTAGGTCGTCCACTCGTGAACTGCCCCCGCTTCTCCCACTGGAGATGGTCGTAATCATGGCAGATGTTTTGTGGACTTGGAACCAAGCGCTCTGTTAAACACTTTAAGGGCATGACGTCATAACAGTCCTTACATCAGCTTCTCTTTATCAGTCGCTCGACTTCTCAGATGACAGAGCCCAGGCTGGAGCTCTTGGCTCGTCCTTGTGGAAGGTGGGGCTCAGGTCTCTGGTGCCAATGTCCTCCTTCAGACCACACACACGCCACCTGCCACCTCCTCGGGCGCTCCAGGCTGCACGGGTCCTTATTTTGGCATAAGTGCTTTGACCTGCTCTCTGCCCTACAGCTCTTTCCCCCTCATGTTCTCTTGGGAATTCTGATTTTCCTTCAACACCCAGTTCAGGGGTCACTTGTAGAAGCTTGCACACCCCTCCCTGGCCTTCTGTCTATTTTGCTTATGTTTGCAGAGACACCGTGAATCAGCGCTCGCCTCCGTGGAGAACGCATCCATGTTTTGGTCATAACGTCCCTACTCGTTTGCCTCAGTAGACTCTGACCTTGAAAAGCAGGCAGCATATCTTTTTAGTCTTTGTATCCCCAGCACAAAGGCCAGCTCATAGTAACACAGATAACAGCAGTACTTAGCATTTACTGAGCACTCGTCTTGGGCCAGGCAGGGTGCTACGCACTTTAGGTGTTAAATTCTTTCGTTTAGCCACCCCCAACCATCCATATGATACGTAAAATTACTGCTCCCACGTCGCAGATGAGGGAACTGAAGCTTAGTGAGCGGTGTAACTTGCCCCAGGTTACCCAGTAAGTGGCCAAAAGCCAGGGCTTGACCCCAGGTCTCCCTGAGCTTCTTTCACATTTTATTCATCTCCATGTCCTACATTTAGACCATTTAGATATTTTTTCTTTTTCAATGTTAAGGTGTGTGAGTAGGAAGATGACATTTCTTCACTACATTAGTAGTGCCCTGAGAAGCACTTGCTGCATCTCTCCCAGCGAAGGGTTCTTGAAGGAAGGTTTTACACTTTTCTGAGGAAAAGGGTTTGGGAAATATGAATTACAGAAGGTAACTGTAGACATGCTAAAAATCCATTTCTTTACTCAGTAACTTTCCTTGAAACTTTGCAGCTATTTTACAGACTATTTTATGAAATAATTGCCGTGCTTAGCTGGCTCATCTGTCAACAGAAATTTCAAATGTAAATTCAGCATTTGAGGGACCTAAAATTCATTGAGCAGAGATTTAAATATCCAGGAGAGACAAGCCCAAAACTACTTCCTTTCCAGAGCATAACTTAAAAAACAAAAAACAATCTTTGCAATTAGAGTTTATGTTAAATTTATTTAGTCAAATATTTCCCAGAATATACATGGGTTTTTACCAACCTAATTGATGATTCATGTGTTTGTCTTTACTTTGAGTTCAAGTTACTATTGCTTATCTCAGATTTTCAAGTGACCAGTGAAATCAGTGAATATTTTAAGATTAGGTGCTCAAGAAATGTAGGCTATCATTAGTAATATCTATATTTGTAATTCTTATCCTATATAACAAATAGCTAATATGCTAATTAGACCGAACAGCAGAACGACCATCTGGACGACCTTCTGCGAGGGCCGAGCCCCTTGCACAAATTTCGTGCATCGGGCCTATAGTATTTTAACATAATGTTTCATACTAGTAGAGCCTGTCTGATGATTACATTTTAATAGCATCTAGAAAACTCCAAAGCCTTTAAAGAAACCCTTACTTTCTAAATATCATTAAAACAGGGTGGCTAACATTCCCATTTTATAAGCTATGACTTGGCCTCACACTGTGTGGTGGGTAGTAGAGGTAAAGTCAGAATGTTGGGGGAGTAAGGGAGCTTGGTCCAACTCTGTCAAGAAGTAAAACGACCATAGCCAGTTTGGCTCAGAGCCTTGGCCTGCGGAGGAAGGGTTCTGGGTTGGATTCTGGTCAAAGGCATGTACCTCTGGTTGCAGGCTCCTACCCGGCCTGGGCTGTGCAGGAGGCAACCAATTGATGTGTTTCTCTCACATCGATATTTCTCTCTCTCTTCCACTCTCTCTAAAAATCAATGAAAAAAATATCCTGGGGTGAGGATTTAAAAATAAATGAATTTTAAAAAAGAAGAAGAAAGGCTCAAAGAGCTGCCTGCAGCTTTCTGCCTCCGTATTGCACTAGAAAGCTGCGTTTCATTAAGAACACCCATAGTTGCTTTGCTCCCTTAGCTCAGTCCCTCTCTCGCTGCATTTTTGCTGATGTTCCTTTCTTGTCTTTAGGCTGCACCCCCCGGCCCTGCCGTGCCAGGCAGCCATGACGACGGCCATCCTGGAGCACCTGAGCACCCTGTCGGTCAGCGGGCAGCAGCTGCGCCGCCTGCCCAAGATCCTGGAGAATGGGCTTCCCAAGATGCCTTGCACCGTCCCCGAGACAGATGTGCCCCAGCTGTTCCGGGAGCCTTACATCCACACCGGCTACCGCCCCACGGGCCACAGGTGGCGCTACTACTTCCTCAGCCTCTTCCAGAAACACAACGAGGTGGTCAACGTCTGGACCCACTTGTTGGCGGCCCTGGCCGTCCTCTTGCGATTCTGGGCCTTTGCCGAAGCCGAGGCCTTGCCCTGGGCCTCTGCCAGCACCCTGCCCCTGCTCATCTACGTCCTGTCCTCCATCACTTACCTCCTGTTCAGCGTGCTGGCCCACCTGCTGCAGTCCCAGTCGGAGCTCTCCCACTACACGTTCTACTTCGTGGACTACGTGGGGGTGAGCATCTACCAGTACGGCAGCGCCCTGGTCCACTTCTTCTACACCTCCGACCAGGGCTGGTATGAGCACTTCTGGCTCTTCTTCCTTCCAGCAGCTGCCTTCTGTGGCTGGTTGTCTTGCGCTGGCTGTTGTTACGCCAAGTATCGTTATCAGAAGCCTTACCCAATCATGAAGAAGATATGTCAGGTGGTGCCCTCAGGGCTGGCCTTCATTCTGGACATTAGCCCCGTGGCCCACCGAGTAGCCCTATGCCACCTGGCTGGCTGCCAGGAGCAGGCCGCCTGGTACCACACCCTCCAGATCCTCTTCTTCCTGGTCAGCGCCTACTTCTTCTCTTGCCCGGTTCCTGAGAAGTACTTCCCCGGTTCCTGTGACATTGTGGGCCACGGGCATCAGCTCTTCCACGTATTTCTGTCCATTTGCACGCTTTCCCAGCTGGAGGCCATCCTCCTGGACTACCAGGGGCGGCAGGAGATCTTCCTGCAGCGCCACAGTCCCCTGTCTGTCTACGTGGCCTGTCTGTCCTTCTTCTTGTTGACCGCCTGCAGCACCACCACTGCAGCCCTCCTGAGGCGCAAAGTCAAGGCCAGACTGATGAAGAAAGAGTCCTGAGGCTGGAGGGTGGGCAAGCTGTGGAGGCACCCCATTGCGATTTGGGGGAAATGTGATACAAACACAGGAGGTGACTTTTTGTTTTTAAGAGTTTTAATGTGTATTAATGGCTTTTACATTAATACATATATCCAAGGATATGCTATGGCCATGGCTTTGGGAAGCCAAAGGATTCAAGAGTTATGTTGTTAATAAAAGGAGTGTTCATTTTCCATCTGGGTCATAGCCTTTCAAGACACAGGAAACGAAGGGACCTTGGCTAAGATCATGGGCACTGAATTAAGGACCATATTTATGCCTGAAAATTCAGTAAAATTCTGACTAAGGCCTCCAGGGGCAAGTCCTGGAGCTGGAGGGGTGATAAACTTGGACTGGAAAACAAGGAGGTGGCTGGTCCACACCATATTGGACCGGCCATGCTACTATTGCTGGTCTTTGGTAATTGAATAAATTGACCCAAGGACCCATTTCCTTTGGGTTTCAGATTGTCCAAGGTGGAGAATTCAGACTCTTCAAGATTCAGTGAAACCTTCAGACAATGAATTATCCAGTTCATCTGATTTCTGATCTCTCCTCTCTCACCCACTCTAACTCTGACCCTTTTCTCAGGATGACATCTCTCTGGCTATTTCCTCTAAAGTGCTGTTCACTCCCTTCAGACCTTGGTAACACACAGGACTGTGAAGTAGTTGCGTGGATCCATGTGGCTATCCAGGAAGCTTATTCTCATATAATACTAATGCAGACGGTACTAGAAAGTACAGTGCCAAGAGCCACCTGGAGGCCCAGGCAATAAGCTTGGATACTGTTTGGTATCCTAGGGCCCACTGTTGTATACCCGTGGACTGGAGGATTACTTGAGGTCTGTTACAGCTGCCTGACAGGCCAGAAGATTTGGGGCTTGCTCCAGGGAGTCTTCTCCAGATTTTGGCCAGCGTGTTCAAAAAGCCCCTGGTAAAATGAATTGGTTCTAAGGATCCCTCTAGGGATCTAATTATTTCAAGAGGAACCCAAGGTCCAGCCTTTTAAGTACATGCCACACCACAAAGGACCCACATAACTAGCCCAGTTCAGGGTCCTCAGACAGGCACTAAGCCTCCACTGAGAGCTGAACCCTTAAAATAGTCGACAGGAAGTGTGTGTGCGCTCTGTGGTTGGTCCCCGGAGGCTCCTTGGAGTATGAATGGTGAGTGGGGCACCCTGTAGCTAGAATGTCCCATTTCGGACATCACTGCCCAGCAGCTTCTACGGGGTAAGTGGTACTTGCCATTGATGTGTTCTGGCCATGCAGCCTCCAGAGGACCCACCTCACTTTGGTCCAGTGAAAGAGGCTGCGTTGACAGAGGAGCCAAGGGAGGCTGCATTTCCTATCAGTATAAGGTTCCCATTTACCGAAAAGGGAAGTGGTTTGTTTTCACTCCACTTTGACAAACATCTTCTATTACTAGATTATCTTGTTGTCTTTAAATCTTTGTTTTCTTTCTTTCCCTGAGAGATATGTGGATTTGTGCCTTATAAATGGAAATGTATGAACACTCCTTAATATATGGCCATGTGAAATTTGCGGTTTGGGGTTACTGGGATTAGAAAGAAAGAATTTGTTGCTTTTCAACCAGTGGATGAAGGATTGTTTATCAATCAAAAGACTCTTTCAACCTGCTTATTTTTGGCAAAAAAGAAGAAGAAGGGGAGGACGAGAAAGAAAAATATTCAACTGAAGCTTTCCTATAATCTTTATATCAAGAAAATGTATGTTTTGTCAGCTTTGTAGTTTTCCTAGATGGGTGCCTCTATTAATCCCCAAGTACGTGAACTTCCGTGAACTTCTGTGCTACCCAAGTGTCTTACACAAGCTTCTGGTGTATGTTTTGTCAGCTTTGTAGTTTTCCTAGATGGGTACCTCTATTAATCCCCAAGTACGTGAACTTCTGTGCTACCCAAGTGTCTTACACAAACTTCTGGTGTCTAGGCCAAATCCACCACAAATAAAGTTAGCAAACTGAATCAGGCTGGACTAAGCAAGGGCATGGGGGAGTTGTGCAAACACATTACAAGTAGAGGGTCAGTTTAAAATGGGGAATAGAAAGTGCTTGAAATGTTCGTTAGTATGGATTCAAAGACCATGCTCTTTTAAAAGTTGGAAGGAAGATGTAAGTCAAGCTCTTGAACGTAACTGGTGGTCATGGTGGCTGAGATCTTGAGGCCCAAGATAAGTACAAGATAGACCAAACTTGTAGATCTTGCCATCAAATTCTTAGTTTAATTTACACAAGTGTTGGTCCCTCAAGTGATTGAAATTTTTTTTTTACGTTTTCACCACAGATATTTGAGAAGCCTTGAGTAGGGGGCAGTAACATGTAAACACAGGAAATGCAGATGTTTGTTCATTAATACTCAGACTTTTAAAGGATTCAATACTCTTTTAAAACATCTTCATTAAAATGAGTGTATGGTAAGGAACAGGCCTAGTTTGTTTAAAAGGAATAATTATTTGATAAAGGAGATGATTGTCTTTCTCCACCAGACCCCCTCAAATAATTGGCATCTACTGGAAATTCTGCTCATTATCTCTCTCTCGTTTTTTTAAGCAAGTACTTTCAACCTATTAAAATGTAAATGCCTCTGAAAAAAACTAAACTATCAGTCCATTTACATACTATGAATAAAAATTCTCATGGATTTATATCGGACCCTAGCCAGAGTAGGATGAGGGGATGGTAGGACGTACTAGACTGGGGACACATTTGCCCATTTCTCTGCTGCCTAGTACTTCCTGACCTATATATTTAATTAACAAGCTGATGTTGATACTCTTCCAGTGGTAGGCTTTCATTTCGTACCTCGGCTGAAAGTACCTCATTCCGGAACATTCTCAATCCTCTACTGGAAGCTTGAAAAACAGCAGGAGCTCAGGCCACGCGTTGAAGGTCCGACATTCCTGCTTATGTTGCCCACTTTTTCACAAATTGTACCTTAAGGTTTCACGATTGCTGCGCTGTAGTTTCAAGTAGATCCTCCAGATGGCACTCACGTCTTACTCAGAGAGGGCCCAGCCATTGCCCTCAAGGTCTCAGCCTGCAGATAGTGTTGGACCCAGTGTTTTGCTTGATTGCTTGGCAAGGAAACGTTCGAACTATTTTCTGTTTATTTAAATCTACTTACAGAAATGACCATTAAACTGATTTTGTATATGGATTGTTGTACTGTCAACATCTCTTTGCCACAGCCCTTGACCAGGGCTACTTTGACAAGGCCCATCTTAAAGAAAGGTTTTATCTAGACAGTCATTGCCAGGAGAAGGTCATGATACTTGATATGCCCCTAGAAGTAGGAAAGTATAAAAAAATTAAAAATCTACAACCCCTCCCCCCCAAACCACACATACTGGTATACCCCAAATCCTCACTTGTAAGCAGATCAAATATTCCCCCTCACCCCCCAAAGCTATGGAGTGTATTTCTCTGAGGATTTCAATCTAATTGAATAAATATTCCTAGTTTCATGGATAACAGTGTTAAAGATCTCAAAATTTTGAATTGATGGACTACATTTTTTAGATTTAAAAACTACGAATTATAATTATACTATCACAGGTACTATAGTGTAGGTGTTGTGAAATGTGGCACCTATCAACCAAAGGATTTTGTAGCCTGACTATTAGATTTAAATAGCTGTAGGAAAAAAAAACACAAGTGATTCTCTAGCCTATGGTAGCTTCAGGGACAGTGCTATCCCAATAACAGTAAGAAAATGGTGTTTCTCTGGCTTGAGGCTCCTCTGGTAGAATTATGGATGTCCCTCTTGTTTACACAAACCTATTTTTATCACCAGCAAGGGTGCTGGGCAGCTTGCAAATGCTCCTGTTGTCACTTAATAGTTCAACCACTCCAGTTATTGATTCATCATTTATGAGCACCTATAGGTGTCATGTTGGCTCAGGCATGCTGCCCACGGAGAGTTTGCAGTCTGTTGAATGAGGATCAGCGTCTTCCCACCTTGGGCCATAACAGGGTTCCCCTCTCCAGGCCTTGGCCCCAATCACAGACTGGGGGCCAGATGACCTGCCAAACCCACAGGAGGCTGGATCTGCTTTGGGCCAGAACCTTCCCCCCTCCCAGAGGCTAGAAACATCTTCCCACCAGCAAACCCATCACTATGGCCACCTTGTTAATCCTTCTGCCTCTTCAGCCCTTCTTACCGTCCTCTAGTGTTTTTACTCAGTCTTAGATATCCTCGATACTCCATACACAGAGCAGCCCTGTATTTCCATAGACAGTATAGCTTTCCCAGGTACATCTTCAGGGAAGGCTATGTAGGGTTCCAGCCTGTGTAGAGGTTCCTGATTTGGTAAACTGGAAACGGCTGCCCTCTGGCTGCCTGCTTTAAAGAAGAAGAAGAAGAAAACAAACAAAAACACCTCCCTTTGCCCTGACTGGTTTGGCTCAGTGGATAGAGCATCGACCTGCGGACTGAAGGGTCCCAGGTTCGATTCTGGTCAAGGGCATTAAAAAAAACAAAACACCTTCCTTAAGGAATATTGTTTGGAAATAATATGGAAGGGAAACCATTGCAAAAATGAATTCATTTAAATATTAACTGTGGGAGCATATTTATCTCAAATATAGGCTTTTTTTTTTTACCTAACAGGATTCTCATAAGAAGAGGTACACACCACATTTTTAGATTCCAGGAGGCCTTGACCAACTCAAAGCCTACAGAATATAACACCTCTGATCCTACATGCTTTCCAACATGTCCACATCCGTTTGAGCTTTTAAATAATCACGTGAGGTAAGACCATTAAATTAGGAAACACACTAAAAAAAATGGAATGACTGGTTCAAAGGCACACGACTCATTGTACTATTTAAACTCAAACTCATGTTTCCTATAGATAAATTCAGGACCTAGCTTATGAGAAACATCAACACCAAATATTCACAGAGCCCTTTACAGTGTGTAAAGCACCTTTATGTATTGTGTATACTCTAACCTAACCTCATTTTAACTTGTGTGTGATCCTAAATACCTCATGAATAGCCGGGGTTGCATTATTTCTTTTCGAATGAAAGTGACTGCACACCATCCCCTTGGATGCCAAACAAAGCATCCTTTGCCCCTCACAGTCTTCTCAGAAGCCCAAAAGTTCTGTTGGCCACAGGCCCTTGTTGGCCTGGATTATAAAGTCAAATCTCACTCTCTGGTCAGGGCTTCTTGAAAATACTTTTCAATCCTTGGATGAGAAGTTCATCTAGTATTAATAATCTTGCCAAGATTATGCAAGTCCTCCCTCTCATCTTTCACTGGGATTGTCAGTTCTTCAAGCAAGTGGCTCTCCAGGGATTCTGAGAACTGATGGGACTTTGAACATGGGATCTGAAAAAATGTTTCTCTGCCTTATAAAGGGGTTAGTAGGAAGCCCCTCCCCCAAAGTCATTGGTCATTTATCATTTTCAAGTAACATGCTTATTAAAGAAAATGCAGGAAAATATGGGAAAAGATAATCCATGAACTCATCACTAAAATAAGTACCTTCAGGAGAAAAATAAGGCTTTATCAAAATATTGTCAATGGTAGGTAAATTAGCAGAGTCACATAAAGCTTCCTGAAAAACCAGAAATTGGGAACTAGAAATGTTAAGCAACCTCATACTTTCATTCTATAAAGTGCAAAATCAACAGCCTTTGGTCCAGTTTACAGGAATACCGAGATGGTTGGAGTACACTTCCCTTCTGACATCCCATGATGTAGGCAATTTGATGATGCTGTGGTCCAGACGCTGGCCATGAAACAAAGCTGCTGAGAATGTTATCTCGTGTTGAAAGAATTCTTTGAAGTGCCTCTCCTGAATAAAGCCCTCTGAGAGTACTCTACAGAAAGACCTCCGCTGGAGGCCAGGCCCAGCCGTTGAACTGGTGTGGGGATTTATTGACAGTCACTCCACCAACCCTGAGCACAGGCACCTGCTTGAGGCTCCAGGGATATAACAATAGACACAACACACAAATCTCTGCCCTTGGCGATCTTACATTGGAGGCTTGTGAGAGAGCGAGACAAAGAAAGAACCAAATAAATGGTATAGGACAGTGGTCGGCAAACTCATTAGTCAACAGAGCCAAATATCAACAGTACAACGATTGAAATTTCTTTTGAGAGCCAAATTTTTTAAACTTAAACTATATAGGTAGGTACATTGTTATTAACTTAATTAGGGTACTCCTAAGCTGGCCTTTGCTAAAAACGTCCTCAATCTGATTGAGGTACGTTCGCTGAGGTCGACCCCTTCCAATTCTCCCATCCACACTCGTCTTGTAGCCAGTCTCACTCAACTCGTGCATGAATCGTGCGCCTCCCCCGCTCTGCGTATCCCTCGGCCCGCCTGCACCTCGTCCGACTTCTTCTAATGTGCATGAATCGTGCGCCTCCCCCGCTCTGCGTATCCCGCGGCCTGCCTGCACCTCGTCCCCCCTTGTCCGACTTCTAATGCCACTTCTTCAAAATAGACTCGCCCAGGCCGAAAACCGACTTCTGCGCATGGGCCACAAAATTTCAATTGCACTGTACGTGCACGCCCGCACATGGTATTTTGTGGAAGAGCCACACTCAAGGGACCAAAGAGCCCCATGTGGCTCGCAAGCCTTGGTTTGCCAATCACTGGTATAGGATGGTAGAAGGTGATGGTGCCAAGGAGAACTTCAGAGCAAGGA